TTCTGTTCGTTGAAAATATTAGAGAGAGAGAGAGAGAGAGAGAGAGAGAGAGAGAGAGAGAGAGAGAGAGAGAGAGAGAGAGAGAGGGAAGGAGGGAGAGAGAGAGAGAGAGAGGGAAGGAGGGAGAGAGAGAGAGAGAGAGAGAGAGGGGGGGGGAGGGAGGGAGGGGGAGAGAGAGAGAGAGAGAGAGAGAGAGAGAGAGAGAGAGAGAGAGAGAGAGAGAGAGAGAGAGAGAGAGAGAGAGAGAGAGAGAGAGAGAGAGAGAGAGAGAGAGAGAGAGAGAAGAGAGAGAGAGAGAGAGAGAGAGAGAGAGAGAGAGAGAGAGAGAGAGAGAGAGAGAGAGAGAGAGAGAGAGAGAGAGAAGAGAGAGAGAGAGAGAGAGAGAGAGAGAGAGAGAGAGAGAGAGAAGAGAGAGAGAGAGAGAGAGAGAAGAGAGAGAGAGAGAGAGAGAGAAGGAGGGAGAGAAAGAGAGAGAGAGAGAGAGAGAGAGAGAGAGAGAGAGAGAGAGAAGAGAGAAGAGAGAGAGAGAGAGAGAGAGAGAGAGAGAGAGAGAGAGAGAGAGAAGGAGGGAGAGAAAGAGAGAGAGAGAAAGAGAGTGAGAGAGAGAGAGAGAGAGAAAGAGAGAGAGAAAGAGAGAGAGAGAGAGAGAGAGAGAGAGAGAGAGAGAGAGAGAGAGAGAGAAGGAGGGAGAGAAAGAGAGAGAGAGAAAGAGAGAGAGAGAGAGAAGAGAGAGAGAGAGAGAGAGAGAGAGAGAAGAGAGAGAGAGAGAGAGAGAGAGAGAGAGAAGGAGGGAGAGAAGAGAGAGAGAGAGAAGAGAGAGAGAAGAGAGAGAGAGAGAGAGAGAGAGAGAGAGAGAGAGAGAGAGAGAGAGAGACGAAGAGAAGGTATGAATGAAAATATCTTCACTGTGCCAATAAGGGAAATCGCTGAATGAAAGACATCTATAATAAGGATTTCCAAAAAAAGAGAAAGAAAGAAAAAAAGAAAGAAAAAAATCGTATCTACTAATCATGTTTTATCAACGATCCCAATCATCACCAAGAACTACCAAAGTAATAATTGTCACCATGAAAAAAAAGACTCTCAACTCAACCATATAAATTTTCAACTATCTTTAAAAATCAAAAATCAAAATTCCCACAAGAAAGGCCCTATCACACTTTTTTCCCGTCATTTTTTTCCCGTAAGAATTTCTCGTATGCAAATAGTCACACGGGGCAACAAATATAGCTCCCGAGGTCCCTGGAAATCTATGTAAGTTACATAGGCCTTGCCTCAAATCACACGAGCATTATCACATTATTTTAGAGAAATTTAACTATGTGTACTGCATATAGAAATATTCTAGGATAACTGACGTTTACATTCATTTATTCTATCTAATTCATCACTAAAAAAAATATATTCGAGTTGCATTGATTCTCCGTAACTTTATATCAAGATGGAAATTAGTCAGACGGAAAAGGTCGCTGGCATCTTCGTCTGGGAGGTGTCCAAGGCATACGGTACTTGCAGAGAGCTTCAGATTCGCGAGGAAACCCGAAAATTGACGGAAAAAAGTACAATCGTGATAGGGCCTTTAATAAATCGTCCCGACCAGTAACAATGGTCAGAATCTACAATCACATCACTACAAAAATCTCATCCAACAATATCTACCTTCTTTCTATAAGGGGACCGTCCCTCAAAATGGTGGTGGCAGGCTAGGAATGTCAATAAAATCCAAACGGTCTTACCGATTTTCTTCCAAATTAGGTATTTTGTTCATTTTAGCATCCTACATCTTTGCTATAAAATTTGTGGAAAATCCCAGATGCCCCACTCAATCAACTTTTTATAACATACCGCTATTGGTCCACACTGTTGCATACTTTTTTCAATGAAAAAAATCAGCATAAACATTGATAAAATCCAAAGAGATTGACACGAGCTTTTTTCGAACATTTTCTTAGTTTACCTCCCCTAAAAAATAACAAATAGAAAAAAAGAAAAAAAATGCCCCCCCCCCAAAAAAAAAAACAAAAAAAAACGGGACCGAAATTCAAAAAAATCTCGCGTCAATCCCTTTGGATTTTATCGATGTTTATGCTGCTTATGCTGATGCCACACAATCACCTTCAACAGTTACCTTCAGCAATCACCCTTTTTGACAATCACCCTCTTCAACAATCACCAACTTTGACAATCACCATCTTTGTCAAATAGCCTCTTCAACAATCCCCCTCTTCGACAATCCCCACGACCAACATCCAATACCCGTCTCTCCCTCCAGCACCAGCAGACGTCAGGGCGCTTACCGGGACCCAGTACGACCTGTACGAGGACCTCCGGAGCTGGACGTGCACCGCCGACAACCTCGCGTGGAGTACTGGTGACGTGGTCCTCCTCAGCCACCTGGTCAACGGCGCTTGGACCAACGAGGACGCCACGTGTATTGGTTAGTGGGGGAAAGGAGGGAAGGAGGGAGGGGAGGGAAGGGAAGGGAAAGGTAGGGCAGGGTAAGGTAGGGTAAGGTAGGGTAGGGTAAGGTAGGGTAGGGTAAGGTAGGGTAGGGTAAGGTAGGGTAGGGTAAGGTAAGGTAGGGTAGGGTAAGGTAGGGAAGGGAAGGGAAGGGAAGGGAAGGGAAGGGAAGGGTAGGGTAGGGTAGGGTAGGGAAGGAAGAGAGGGAGGGAAGGGAAAGGAAGGGAAGCGTAGGGTAGGGAAGGGAAGGGAAGGGAAGGGAATGGAAGGGAAGGAAGAGAGGGAGGGAGGGAAGGGAAGGTAAGGGTGTGTAGTAGAACGTGTGTAGTAGTTATTGGCAGGAGAGGGGGGAGGTTAAAACTAAATCCGTTAGGCAAGGATCAAGTGCAACAGTACAGTATAGTTAATTACTGCAACTGGATGTCATCAGTAAGACAGGTTTACTTGTCACGAACGTTATATAACAATAGCATTTAAAAAAATGCAATACCGATCAAAAAAAAAAAAAAAAAAAAAAAGCCACTGTAAGTTATCCAAACGGTAATATCGTATTTCATTCACCTTGTCGTTTTCTTACCCTACCCTAATTATGATTTATCAGTTAATGTCCACACACACTTGACAAATCAGCTAATGCCATATTCCCTAAATGTCAGGACAGTTAAACACCATTACCCTAATATATCTACGAGGTCTTCATGAAATAACAATTTGATGATTATATGACACACGACATTGATATGATTATTGAGTTGTTTTTTTTACCTCTTTCGCTCTGTCATCAACTGGGTAGGAACTGTCTGCCATTTAGATGAATTATTGATTACATGAATATTTATACGGAAATATATGCATATGTGGATAAGCGCAGCAAAGTCTAGCTACATATACAAATATTTGTGCTAGAAATTCATTACCTGAAAATTAGACTTGATCTGATAGCATAAATCACCTCAATTAAATTAGCATTGGATATTAATATAATTTTTCCGCCTATTGCCCACTAACCCACTACTTCTTCTCCCACCCCACTTTCACCCGTTTCCTGTACTCCATTTACGCCACCATTTCCCAAGTCCCACTCATCTCCTTACCCCATACCATCTGTTCCCCTACCCCACTCATACCATTTCCATTCATTTTCTTACCTAAACGTCACGTGCCCTGTTCCCACTCTTCTCCTTTACTCCAACGTTCTTACCTTTTTTTTTCATTTATTCCCCGTTTCCCCCGTATCCCACTCATCCCATTCTCATGCGTCCCTAAACCCCTCTAACCCACTCCCCAATCCCTATCCAGCATCCCATTCCCACCCACTCTCTAAACCCCTCTTACCCACTCCCCAATCCCTCTCACTCCAGCATCCCATTCCCTCCCACTCTCTAAACCCCTCTACCCCCATTCTCACCCACTGCCCTCCGCCACCATAGATACCACTCTGCTCAGTCGCTGCTCCGACGCCGCCCCTGTCCCCGAGAACGCCGAGGTGAGGCATGAGTACAAGTCGACGGACGGCAGCTACACCTTTGGAGTGTACTACGAGTGTGCCTCTGGCTTCGAGTGGGTTTCAGGAGAAAGGGGGAGGCTCACACAGTGCAAGGATGGCGCATGGACTTCCATTCCGGATATCTGCATTGAAGGTAAAACAGAAACCGAAATTGATTATTTTAGTTTAGTCCTTTATTTACCACCCTGGTTAACTGCACAGGCGTGGGCAAGCTATGGTACATTTAATGCATGGTCATAACATTACATAATGGTATTACATTTGGACATTATCCTATAACATTGTTATAATAAGTACTTTATCAGTTCAAGGAAAGGAACAATTGCACAGTCCTTTATCTACTCATCTGTTCGCTTATATTCTTCATTACACAGTTTACACCTAGTTTCTTCGACATTACAAGCTGTACTAACCTACCAATGCATTCTATATCCAAGCCTGATTCTTGCAGTCACAACATCACACTTGTTCTAGATCAAAATTGCATGATTGAAAATTTCAGTATGAATTCCATGGATTATTATTATACTTTTTTTCTAGTCGGTAAAATTGGTACTTTGTACGACACTGTTTCAGCATGATGCGATGAGATCGATATATTAAAGATAAGAAGAAGTGAAGATTAACAGATTAATCACTTCAGAATGAGGATAGGGATT